CCGCCCCCCCCCGTTACCGTGCGGGGGGCTGCTGCCCCCCTTCGGAGCGGCTCCCTGGGCACGGCGAGCCAGAGCGCGCAAAGGCGCAGGGGTGCCCGCGGGCCCCCCGCTCCCGGTCTCTCGGCCACCCCTGCCCCAACCTTCTCCTCCCCCTGGGTCCGGGGGGCAGCCAGCTCTGGAAGAGAAACCTTCTGTGATGGTTTGCTCCTTCCACCCCTCCCTCCCAGCGCTTTTCCAGAGGCTGCAGCAGGATGGCTGGGCAGACGCCCCCCTTGGCCATGCTGCCTGCCCTGGGCGTGCAGCGACCCCCAGACCCACAAGGCAGCCATGACCACAGGGGAGGCCCAGGCCCGGGGGGTCCCATCCCACAGGAGAGCCCCGTCCCGCAGGGCTGGGGTCTGCCCAGCCCCGGGGGTGCCCTGCCGTGGGCACGTGCTGCCAGCACCTGGAGCTCCTTCCTGGAGCACGGAGCCGGGGGAGGCCGAGGACTGGTGAGCAGCTGGAGAGGCAGATGTGCGGGGAGCCGCTCCATTGGAGGTTACACAAGACCAGCTGTACCGACAGCCGGTGTGAGGCAGGCAGACAGGGCTGGCTGAAAGCTGGGCATGAGGGGGTGAGAGGACATGCTGGTACCCCAACATTTCCCCCAAGAGACAAACCATGGTGAGAGGCCAGCAAATGCTTTATTGCCAAGGACAGCACTTCCCTCAGCCCCTGGGCAGCAGAGATGGAGGCTGCCTCACTGTGTCCCGCACCAGACCGGTCCATACAGACAAGCAGGTCCTTGGTGCCAAGAGCCAGCCCCGGCACCAGCTGCCCAGCCTAGGGCCACACAGGGGATGGAGAGAGCTGGACAGCCCAGCCTGCGGGACGGGGACGCTCCCTCAGCGCTAATGCACTGCACCATGCTCCAAGACCACCACCCTAAACACTGCCCACGTGGCTACCGCCAGGCCTGGTGGTCTGCAGACAGCCTGAGGACATTGCTGGCTCCCCAGCAAAGGTGGAGGGCGCTCAGCAAGCAGGAACAGTTGGGGGACAAATGGAGGGGCCCTGATGCCCAAAATTCCTGAGATGGCAGAAATACCTCTCTGTCGCCCAGGGACCCTCACAGCCTAGTCCCCAGCACACACCTCAGTGCCATCCTGCTCACCCCCAGGCCATGTCCCCCAGCACGTGTACCTGCCCTGCTCAAGGCGCCCCTCTGCTCCTGCTCCCTCGGGCCGATGCTGTGCAGGATGGAGGGGTCAGCCTCTCCCGTGTGCCCGCACCCAGCGCAGCATGCTCAGAGGAGACGTCCCAGGAGCAGAGCGCCGGGGGAGCTGCCCCAGGCCACCGGCAGGGCGACGAAGCCCAGCTTGCCGTAGAAGCTCAGTTGCTGCCGGTCAGCGGCACTGACCTGGCAAAACACTCCCCGTGACCCTGGAAAGGAGGTGAGAGGTCAGGCCCCAGCACCGGGAACCCAGCGCTGGGGCTGGGGGCCAGTAGCTGGAACCCCCTCCATAAGCGGGTCAGCCTCCCAACTGCCCTTTGGCACTGGCTGCCTGCGTGATGCCTTGAGACACGGGTCCTCGTGCCCCCTGGTGCCAGGGGAGGGCACGGTGCCTGGGAGCTGGGGCCAGACCGTGTCAGCGAGGGGATGGGGAGCCCTGGTGAGGGCTACCCCAGCCCCGTGCTGAGAGGCGGGGTGCAGGTGGGGCCGGCTCCCGGCTTTGGGGTGGGCAAGGGAGCAGTCGGGACGGGGTCGTGCCGGATCAAGGGGGCCCCGGTGCCCCCCAGCACGGGGAGGTCATGCTCACCGTTGGCCCTGAGGGCGCTCAGCAGGCAGATAGCCAGGCTGCGGCTGGCCCCCACATCCAGCACGCGGGGGGCCGTGCCCAGCTGCACCAGGGAGGGGAAGCGCCGCAGCACAGGCAGGGGCACAGCCGGTGGCTCCGCATGGAAGAAGAGCAGTGCTTCCTCCAGGGCATCCTGCAGGAGACAAACACAAGTAAGGGAACCCCTCCATCCCCCCCATACCCACTCCCCTCTGCTCCAGGTGCCCCCTCACCTGTCCTAGAGCTGGGGCACCTGCGCCCAGGTCTCGGGGGTACTTGTGCCGTATGGCCGGCAGCCAGCTGCTGTCTCGCTGTTGCAGGAAGCCTTCAGCGCAGAGTGCTCCGGCTGCGTAGCCGCACGGACCACCCTCATCCTCCAGCACGAACGTGTACTCGGGGCTCAGGCTCAGGAAGCTGCCCAGCAGCCTGCCAGCCGGAGCAGGAGCACCGCTGAGCTGCCGCCTGGAGCCCAGCCTGCCCCAGGGAAATCGCAGACCAGCCAGCCTCCTCCTTCGTGCCCCAGCAGGACAGCACCCCAGCGCCCACCCGACCATCCCTTTGAGACCGCCCCAGCAGAAGCCCTCAGCCAAGGGGAGCCAGCGCAGCCCCCCTGCAGCCAGGCTGGACAGCAGGTCCATCCCCACGGTGGCTGCCACGACCCAGCGGGACATTGGCGCAGGGACTGCCCTCCCTGCCCCCTTCCGCAGGGTGAGGCCACCGCCAGCCGTGGTGCAGGCAGAGCTGGTCCCCGTAGCAATGCGAGGAATGGCCACTGCCTCACACCACGGCCCTGCCTCACCCAGCACATGGCCAGGCTCAGCACACGCCTGGCAGGAGGGAGCCCCAGAGAGGCCACGTCTCACCTGTCACCGAGGAGATCGGGGTGGGCCGCGAGGAGCTCTGCGACTTTGGGGTCACAGTCCAAACTCTCCTGGCACATTCGGTAAAGCTCTGCCTGGAAGACCCAGATCCGCCTCAGCCCTGGCTCTGCCTGCCCTGCCCAGTCCCTGCCCCCTGCTGCCCCTCAGCTGCCTGCCGCCCCCGCCACAGCCCCTGCCGGAGCGCGGCGTGCCGGCCGCTGCCCGAGCTGACCATAAAGAGGGACCGCGACCGGGGCTGTGGCCTCCAGCGCGCCCTGGCCAGGGGAAGGTACGAAGGTACGCGCTTCAGCCCTCCAAGGGCGCTGGCGTCTGCGCCCAGTGATGCACCGTGCACCACCTTCTGCTGGCCTCTGAGGCTCATTGCCACAGGACAGCAACACTTCAGCATGAGAAATTGCCATTCCAGTCAGGCATCCCAGAGCAGCAGCTGCTGAAGAAACGCTGCTCGCCCCAGGACAGAGCATGCTCAGAGCAGCCAGAACGGCAGCAAAGCCGATACCGAAACTCAAGTCTCCACAGGGCATGTGCAATGTGGGACATCTTAAAATTTCCCATCTTGGTCAGATGTGAGTTTGCTGCTGCTCACAGGATCAGCGAAAAGAACATCCCGATAAAAGCATGGCTTCTAAAGTTCCGAGCGCCGTTCCCAGAACGGGCTGAAGTGCTTAGCTGGATTTTTCTCTCAAAGTTTCGCTGGACACAGACGTTCAGCTTGTTAAAGTTTAGCCTGATGAGATGAAATCTGACAACAGGCAACTGAAAACAAGCTCTGGCAATGGGAATTGCTGGCAGCTGCAGTCTGATATAATCTGCTCTCGTGTGCTCGCAGCTCCTCCTCTGCTATTTACAAGCGCTGCAGCTGTGCGTTGCCGGGTGCTGTATTTAGCAGGGTGTGCTCTTGTGTCCGCCATGGCCGGGTTTGCAGCGTTAGCATTTCCTTTAGCTAGGAGCGGCAGCAGGGTGAGGGAGCAGGGTGTTCGCTGCAGGCTGCGTGGTACGTGGGGAGCCCAGGGCTCTGCTGGATTTGGCAGCAGTTTAACTTGTGTGTCCACCCCCCTCCAAATTCTCCCTTTCCCTCCCCATCCCATCGAACTGCTGGGGTGTCAGACAGAGCGGGGCGGCTGGCAGCAAGCAGGTTGTGGCTGACAGAGGCTGCTGCCTCTCCAGTGAGGAATCATGCTGGAGGCTGGGTGAGTGTTTGAAGAAGGGACTGATTTGGAGGTGAACCCCAGCAGGCTCAGGCACTGCCCAGAGCTGCAGGCTGATGAAGGCTGCAGGAGGTTGCCATCCAGACTTGTCCTGTTCTGGATCTTTCCTGGCATCTGCTCGTGGCCACCGCTGGAGATCAGCGCTGGGGGTGCTCTGGAGATCGCCCTCGCAACCTGGCGACCCCCAGTCTGTGCCAGTTTGGCTGTGGCTGTGCCTGCTGCTCACTTCTGAGCCGGGTCTCCCTCTCCTGCTGCTGGCTGCCAGGAGGGGCCCTGCCTGGGCGCTCGTCGCAGGGAGGTGGGTGACGGTCCCTGCCGAGGCCGCTGGCCACAACACCCGCCCTCCAGCCCAGGGGGCTGACACGCTGCCGGACACAGACCTGGGTGACCTGCCCGGGCTGGCCGGCTCTGAGCGGGGCTGGACCCAGAGGTCCTTTCCCAGCTGCGTCACCCTGCACTGCAAGCTCAGTCTGGGGTCAGCAGCAGACGAGCATGTATCTCGTTAGTGCACGTACAGCACAGGCCATGCAAAGGTGAGCTCTGGCCCGAGCGGTGCTGGCCACCCCTTCAGGCCGTGGCTCCCACCTTGTCCAGGGGCAGCAGCGGGCGCAGGAGGTATGGCTGGCTGGACGGGAAGAGCGTTCACAGCTGTTCCCCACGGGCAGCAGGGCCTGGAAGAGAGACAGTCTGTCAGGGAGCAGGTTGTCCTGGCTCCAAACCTTGTCCCGGAGGCAGCAGGAGGAGGGTCCCTCTGAGGCACCCTAAACCCCAGGAGCCACAGCCAAGGCGCAGAGGCCCGGGGCAGCTCTGCCTTCCCAAGCTTGCAGCAACCCAACGGCAGGGCCAGGAGCAGCAGCTGGGACCCTGGCTTCCCAATGGCTCCTTCAGACCCCACAGATATGGGCATGCTCTCACCTGCAGCTCTCCAAAGAGGCCCCCACGACGTGCCCAGGGCTCAGCGTCCCTCCCCAGCAGGATCGGGGCAGTGTTGCTCTGGCACCCTGGAGGCAGCAGGAGACAGACACATGCGAGGTGAACAAAAACCTGCTGGGCCAGGGGGAGATCAGCCTCCATCACACAGCAGCATCATGATCCACACTGGTCACAGCTCCAAGGGTCTGCCCCCGCAACCGTGCAGCCTGGGCACGGGCCCTTGCCTGGGCTTGGGCAGCCAGCCCCATGCATTGGGGTAGCAGCACACCCTCCGCAACAAGGCTTGAAGTGGGGGAATGGGGAAAGGACTGATCCTGCCTACACGAACGGTGTAATGTAAAGACACAGATCCTGGCTGCAGTTGGAAAGCTGCAGCCTGGCAGAGCGCAGCGGACTGCTTTGCTGCCCGGCCAGCCAGCTCTGCAGCGTCTGTGGGAACTTGCCCTGCGTGCAGCTGCTTCCCTGCAGAAGCGGGTCAAGGCGCACGGCTCCGTCTCACACTGAACTTGGAGACCCTCTCAGGTTGTCATCTGGTAACAGTTCTTGGTTTGTAAGAGGTCACAGGGCCCACAGAGCAATCAGGGAACCCTAAACCAGAGGAACAGGGGCTTCCAAAGTGATGCACAGGCATTCAAAATCCAACCTAACCTCTGTCACCCAGGGCATTTCTGCTCCTAATGGCCCATGGATCCCTTTTACCAGAAAGGCTAAGGGGTCCTCAGGTTAAAAGGGCTGAGGAACCATGTCCTAGAAATAGGTATTCCTTCTAGACTGTGAGGGATGGTGAAGAGCTGCTCCCACGACCGCCCTGTCCCCAGCAGCAGTGCCCCATCGTGCCGCAGTGTGTCAGGGCATGCAGGGGTGCCAGCCTTCCCATGGCCATTCCCGCTCTGCTCGGCAGGCAGAGCGTGGGAACGGGCAGCCCGATGACGGTGCTGGCTGCTGCTGTGGGGCTGGAGGTGACGGAGGGTAGTAGCCGGGGCCTCACCGCCCAGGAGGGTGAGCCAGGGCAGCACCGGTACTTACAGCCAAAGCAGCTTCCCCAGGTGCCCTTGGGGTCAGGGTCGCAGAGGAGATGGCCATCTGCAAAGGCGGCAAGGTGGTCAGCACGGGACATGGGTCAGCAGCAGGGAAGGTGTCAAGGGGAGGTGCACTCCCAGAAGAGACCCTGGCACCCCTGGCTGGACACAGGGACCCCAGACCTCTGCAAAGGGGTCCCAGACACCTTCACCTCTTTAGAAGGGGAAACAGTGGATCACCACAGAACAAGCTCCAGATGCCCTGGGTGTGCCGCAGTGCCCGGGGGCCCCGGCACTTTGACATGGCTGGATTTGGCCAGGGTGTGAACAAGCACTACGGGGCCACAGGGGCTGGCTCGGGGCTGGCATCAGCCACGTACCCAGCCAGAGGACGAAGGCACTGGCGGCCAGCAGCATGTTGCGGATGTCCCAGAGGTAGGGGTGGAGGTCGTAGAGCAGTGCCCGTCCGGCGCTGCTGACAAAGCGGCTGTGCAAGCGGCATGTCTGAGCGCAGAGCAGCTGGAAGGACTGGGCTCGGCCGCGCCACCGTGTGCCCTGTGGATGGACCAGGCATCAGCACAACCGTGACAGGCACCATCCCGCAGCAGGGCCCGGACCAGCCTTACCTCGCAGGCATCGGGTGCCATGGCCGGGACCCCCACACTGAGGCTGTTTGCCCGGAGCCACCGAAAGTGCTCCAGGAGATGCTGCGCCAGTGGCCCATGATGGTAGGGCAGGTAGAAGAGCTCCACCAGCATCCGCACCTCCCCCAGAGTCAGCGGTGCTATGGGGCTGGACCTGGCCTCCTCTGGGGTCAGTGGTGCTGTGGGGTTGGACCTGGCCTCCTCGAGGGTCAGCAGTGCTGTAGGGACAGATCCAGCCTCCTCTGGGGTCAGCGGTGCCGTGGGGATGGACCTGACCTCCTCTGGGGTCATTGGTGCTGTGGGGCTGGTCCTGGCCTCCTCGGGGGTCAGTGGTACTGTGGGGCCAGACCCAGCCTCCTCCAGGGTCAGCAGGGCCATGGGGCTAGACCCAGCCCCCTCTGGGGTCAATGGTGCTGTAGGGACGGGGCTAGCACCAGCCCCATCACTGAGCGGTGCTGGGGGCCCAGGGCTGACACCAACCCCATCACTGAGCGGTGCTTGGGGCCCAGGGCTGGCGCTAGCCCCATCACTGAGCGGTGCTGGGGGCACAGGGCTGGCGCCAGCCCCATCACTGAGTGGAGCCATGGGCCCAGGGCTGGCACCAGCCCCATCACTGAGCGGTGCTGGGGGCACAGGGCTGGCGCCAGCCCCAGGCCTTGGGGGTGTCTGGGGCATCATGTCAGCCCTGCTGGCCTCAGCCTGGGTACTGCTGGGGGACGGGGAGGGGCTGCCACCCCTTGTCCTGTCATCACTGGTGCATAGTGGAAGGTTCTGGCTGGTGTTGGCCTCATTGCTGCAGCGCATGGCGGGGCCTGCGCTGTGAAGGGTCTCAGTAGCCACTGGGGTTCCTGCAGACTGGGCACTCCCAGCCGTGCTGGGCAGAGCAGAGGAGGGCTCACAGCTCGCTCTGCTCCCGGTGGTGAGCTGGTCCCCGTCCCCTGTGGGGCTTTGCCGACTGCCAGTGGGGATCCTGCTCCCACTGCCCTTCTCAGGCTCCGCGGTCACCTTCCTCCTTCCCTCCCCTGGTGCCACAGCACAGGGCTCAGGGCCACGCTGGTCTGCCCCACTGGGAACAGAGTCTTGGGGCTGGGAGTCGGGCGTGATCTCCTGTCCTCCCGCTGTGCCGGGCTGCAGCCTCGTTCCTCCCTTGAGGCTGATGCTGGGGTGTCCTGGGGTCCTTCCTCCTGGCAGAAAGGAGCAACAGGGCAGCCCCTCTGGAACCTGCATGGAAACTGCTGCCCATGGGGCAGGATAGCCCTGGGTGCAGCCGTGCTGGGAAGCTCCATCTCCGAGCTGGTCCAGGGAGCTGCCAGGACCATGGGGTTTGCATCGCTCTGTGCTCTGGAGTTCAGGCCTCTGTGGCTGGTGAGGCCACAGGCTTTACAGAGGCAACCACTGCAAAACACCAAGCTTGCACCTGGCTGGACCCCCTCTTCCAGAGCCGTATCATGGCCCAGGCTCTCACGCTGCCAGATGAGGAGACCCGCTGTGGGATGCGTCCAGGGCAGGAGCACCAACGCCTGCCCACCACGACACACAGAGACCCCGCTGCCGCACCAGCCGGAGTGCCCCATCCAAACGGGCAGGGCATGGGGCTCCCTCACCCCACTGAGCTCCCAGCAGAGCTGGTCCAGCGCTCCAGAGGGGGTGAGGGATGCTGCACGGTGCGAGTTCATCACCTACCTGGCTCCAAGGCCTGCCGGTTTATCTCAGCCACCCAGTCACGCAGCGCCAGCTCCAAGGCCTCCTGGGGGCTGTAGCTTCCCTCCTGTGGGCCTTGGCTGTCCCCCAGGGCTGCTGCAGTCTCCATCCCTAAGGAACTGGAGCTCATCAGCCTGGGCAGCCCCACTCTTTGCTTGATGCAGCTATCCCATGCCACACTGAGGGCGGGCAGCCCCCCCTCCCCCCCCCTCCGCCAAGGAGATGCCCCCAGGATGGATCCCATGCCCGGGGGTGTCAGGTGGTGCCCAGCCAGGTGAGACACCTCACCCAGGCTGCCACGCAGGAAAGCCTGCAGGGCCATGGCAAAGATGGGCAGGGATGGGCAGGGCCCTGCCCTGGGTGCACAAGGTCACTGCTGGCACTGGGGCCCCATGTACAGAGCTGCCGGGGGTGCTGGGGCCAGGTACCTGCGTGATCAGGGTGGGCACAGCTCCGCAGCTCGCTCCGAAACCAGCTGCCCAATGTGTGTATGGGGATGAAGTTGGCCTGGAGCTCGCAGTTGGGGTTGAGGAGCAGTCCATGGAGCCCGGGCATGAGGCCGGGGGCACGTCCCGTGTAGGGGCCCAGGAAGACACGTCTGCAGTCATAGTCGTTGGCGTACAGGTTGTCCCAGATGACGAGGCGTCGGCGCAGGACACCCTCCACCTCCTCCAGCAGCGTGGCTGAGAGCTCCTGTGACACCACCTTTGGGCCTGGAGCATCACGGCACGGACGCGCGTGGAGCACACAGGCAGCACAGTCCATCGTGCACACTCACAACAGGGACATGCACCCCACCCTCCCTGGCCAAGGGGAGAGCAGACCCACGGCCCGACCCACTGCCTGCCTGGCCGGGGCTGCACACCCCGATGCTCAAAGGCACCGCGATGGGGCCACTTGCTGGCGCCTCTCCTGGGACGGAGCAAGGGGCTGCAGGGTTTGCAGACGCTGGCTCTCGCTGAGAAGCCGCACAGGGCCACACAGCCCACAGAGCCAGGCCAGGCACTCACCTGTCCAGATGACACCGATCCCTGGGAGCAGCTCCTGGCCAAGGGTCAGCAAGTAGCAGGACTGGCTGGGGCTGGGAGAGCACAGAGAGCTGCAGTACTCTGGGGAGAGAGCACAGAGCATCCCTTGAGAAGCAGAGAGACTGGGAGAGGAGAGGCTGCCTGGGATCGATGGATAGGGGCTGGGGAGATGCGCGGTGCAGGGAATATAGCATGCACGGCTGCTGAAGCGCCAGCCCATCTGCAGCCTGGTCCTGTCCTAGTCCCGAGATCTCCAGGGCTCCCGCAGGACCATGAGGGGGCTGGGGGGAGCTGCTGCTGTCAGGGCAGTCAGCTCTCAGCAGACACAGGTGCTGGGTGCAGCCAGCCAAAGGGCACCCCAGTCTGCTGTGGGGTGCCACAGCTGGCCAAGCACCAGGCTCCCGGGGGGGGGTGGCTGGGGCCGCACAGCTGCAGGCGGTACCTGTAGGGCAGAAGAGGAAGACGGAGGGTTGGCCCAGCTCCTGGTACACCTTGTTGGCCACAGAGGCCTGAGCCTGCGCCAGGGAAGGGAAGACGTCTCTGTCAGCTTGGCACATGCAGGGGTCGATGTCGTCAAAGAGCAGCGCGAAGGAGCGGCACCCCATGGCAGCCACCTGTGGGCATGGGCACAGGCTGCTAGGATCCCTGGGCAGCAGAGAGAAAGGAGGCAGCGAGCCCTGGACGAGCCCCTGCTGCCTGGGCCCGTAAGGACAGCAGGGGTCCGGGGCGCCTGGACAGATGGGGTGGGCAGAGCAGCCCTCGCCGTGTTCCCCATGCCTGCCCAGCAGATGCTGTGCACAGGGCCCAGCCGCTCCATGGGCACATGCCAGCCCCTCATCCACAGCCCACCTCGCTCCAAGCCCTGGTTTGCCATGGGCCAGGAGCCCTTTCAAACCAGAGTCTGTGCTGCGGTGGCCCAGAGCCCACTCCCACCGTGCCGCTGCCGGGCAGCCCCGCTCACCACCTGCCACATCCACTGCCCCTGAACCACGCTCCCGCATTGCTCTGCAGCGCTGGGAGCCCCACGGCAGGAGCGGAGGCCAGCAGAGCCTCATGGGGAGCCTCGCCGCATGCCGGGGCAGGTGCTCCCTGCGCCAGGGCTGGCTGGGGCAGCTGGAGAGGTGGCCGGGCATGGCGCAGCGCAGGGCAGCTGCTGCCTGGGCTGTGCCGCCGGGAGGGGCAGCCGCCCACAGGCTGGGCCGCCGGGAGGGGCAGCCGCCCACAGAGGAAACCCACTGTGCCGGCGGCTCTTGACCCTCCCTGGGGACCTGGGGCTCAGCACCAGCCCGCACCAGCCTCTGGGGTTGCCCAGGCGAGTCTGGGGGTTTGGCTGG